ATATGAACGATAGCCGGTCAGTTTCACAAACCACCAGCCGCCACTGACGTCCACTATTGCGCCTTTGCGCTTTCTCTCATCACAAACACATCTTTCAAATTTGATTTTGCACTGACCGGGAACTGCAGTTGTAATCCAGTGTTGTTTTTAAGAAAATATGTTTCAAAATCAAAATATTGATCGTTTTCCACACAGCTGGATAGAAGTAAATTGAAGCTCTCGATATGCAAAATATTTGACTTAGTGTACACATCCTGCCCTCTTTTCTCTATAGTCTATAGTGCCACATTGGTGTCGCTATGACGTTCTGCCGAAAGACGCTTTAACCTCGCTTTCAGAAAGAGGGACCGAAATACTTATTCCAGCACAACTGACCATGACGAAACGTCATGCAAAATCAGTCGTTGTTTTTTACTTGTTTCAAAGCAAAACATGTCTCAGTCGGATTATTAAAAGTCATTCGAAAACTGACATCATTAGCCTTTGACTGAAGACCATAGACATGATAATATCCAAGGCTGGGCACTGTCATGGCAGTCGCTCTTTTGTCTCTGTAAAAACTTCGAAACACTGGTGCGCCCTTTGGACACGCAAAAGAAAGGTAAAACGCCAATCTCGTTATAACCGGGTGCATGCGCGACCTTTCCCTCCTTGCCCTTCATTTGGTTTCAAATAGAGGCAACTGGCGCACTCCATGTTGTGCCCAAATTCTGTCAGGGTGAATAAGGCATATGAGAGTGTAGGTCTGGGCTGCCAAAACCCACTGCAGTCACAACCGCTAGCAAGTAGATACTCTTGTCAGAAAAGAATAATGCGAGAGCCCATCAATAGTCCCCCTGTAATCCCATACCAAGGGAAGAGCACCGTTTACTCAGTTGGCATCAACCTAGACTTCGGGGTGGAGGCCCTGGTTCCAATTCCCTACAGAGTTTTCTAAACTTGAGTTGTTTCGAGGGGAAGGCTTTAAGGCTATCCGCCAATTTGGCTCGGTCTTATCTGAAACAGACGTTAAATTTGGTGGTCCCAGCCTCTGAAATAACCTTACGGTGTAGAAATAAATGTAATTAAACCTATAAAAGGACAAAATGATCGCACCAATGCCGTAACGTCCAACAAATCATCTCCTCATAACTATTTTGTGCATAATGCACCCGCACCCTATACTTAAGAGAACTTCGGACAAAGTTTATAGTTCTAAGGCGACGAAATACGTGACAGGAGTAGCATAGCCTTCTCAACTTATCCTTGGAAACAAAAGCCAAGTTTTCACTCTATGCTGGTTGACAATATTTCAGTATGGAATTTGAAGTTTCCTAAAGTGCAGATCACAAGACCTCCGCCAGAGCACTTGTTGAGATAAGAGAAACTCCTTAGGATGTGGGAAGAAAAAAAAAGGGGAGGGGAGAGCGGTAGAGGGCTCGGGTGCTGTTTATTGTGTTGTGCTGGTGTGTAGAGTGTGTTTGTAATAGATATAATTTGTTGTGCGTCCCGCGTGCGTCTGAACGTGCATGTGTGTGTGTTTCTGTGTGTGTGTTTCTGTGTGTGTGTGTGTGTGTGTGTGTGTGCG